ATCATAAAAACAAAAAGTTTTTTTGAGAACGTCTGTTTTTTGGGTTGGCAAAAGGATCAGCGGAAAGAGTTTTTTTTTGGGGGGCACTGTATATATTTGCTTTAACAATATTAATATCTAGAGACTTTAATCTCTTCCCTCTTCTTTTTTTTCTCTTTGATACAAACTTCCTGTATTTTAACAAGTAAATATAAGAAAAATCTACCTACAAAGTCAAAGGTAAGAAAACTTTGTTAGAAAAAAGAACCTGTAAAAAAAATATTCTCCTTTCTTTCTCCAGAGATTCAAGACTCCAAAAAAGATTGATATAGACTTTTAAAACTTATTTCTTATCTTTTTCAAGTCTTCCTTTTATCCTTTTAAGCATGTAAACTTTTTTCTAATTTTTCTAGAGAATTTTGCCTATCTCAGTTTGACTCTGAATTTTTGGTTACACTGGAATTCTTGAATAATAATTGGCTTGAATTTTGAACTGGTTGATCTATATATAGCAAGAAATGTAAACAAGATATATAACTTCCATGTGTTTTATCTTGCACAATATGAAATCTGATGATATTATTGGATACAATGAAAAGAGCAAGGCAATAAGGTGTTCTCTTTATTAAGAAGTATTATGATGTTCCCTCCTCCTCTTTTAAACTGGTTTCTTTTTTCTTCAAGATCAAAAGAAATCTTATTTCAATTTAATAACAAGCTTTCTCGTTATTGATTATTTTGAGAAGGCATTAAATAATAATTCTTTAAGATATAAGTCTTGATTCAAGCAATAATTCTTTAAAGGTTATAAGACTTATTATAAATATCTTGAATGTTTTTGGTCAGTAATAAAATAGTGGAAATTAAATAGTTTGCTCAATTATAAATAGTGATAAAGGATATATTATGATGGATCAAAGTTAATACTGGAGAGTTTTTATTTATCAGAACAAACTTTTTAATTATTCTTTTACTTACCTTTCTTTCTTAAAAAAATAAAAATTTTTTATTTCTTAGAACCACTGATTCATATAGGGATAATAGTTTGAATATAGGCTAGCTATGATTTTTTTCAAGGCTATGAAGTGATCTTGGAAAAGGAGCAATTTTATTATTTCCCATGATTACACTTAGAAAGTTAAGATTTAAAAAGTTTAAAATAGTTAATATCACACAGTAATAGCTTAATGAAACAACTCTTTTGTAATAAAATAGTTAATAAATATTTAAATAATGTGAATAACATAAAAGTTTTGATATTAAGAATTCAAGGATCCTGTACAAATCTAAAAATAACTTATTGATAGGTGTTCTACATTATGCATAGTTTAGCTTTAGTATAAAGTCTTAGAATTCAATATATTATTGTTTTATTTTTATGAAAAATTAATAAATACAATAAATTGCAGTCTGATTAGAGGCAAAAAAAATATATAATATTTCAAATCTCATATAAGTTTATACAGATTTGTTTAATTTCAATTTTTAGAATTATAAGATATATAATATATCAATAAAATTTTATATCTAATATCTTTAATCAATTAAAAAAAATTTTATTAATAAAATAAAATTTTAAATATATATTAATAAAAATATAAAAAACAATTTTATATAACAATACAAATCTTATAGTTAATTAAAAAAAGAAATAATAATAATAAAATAAAATTTTAAATATATACTGTATTAATAAAAATATAAAAAACAATTTTATTTAATAAATTTTTATCAATATTTTATTTTATTTTTTTGGGGGGGTTATCCCAGTAGGTAAATATTATCTCTTTATTTGATTTATATATATTGTTGATGTGAAAATCTGATGAGTCTGCCGCTTGAGCATGCCTCCCGTCGTATAACAATGGAGTATGTCTTCTACTCAAAAGAGGTGTGTGTATTTGGTCCGAGCCGTTGGGTAGCACTACAGATCAATCGGTAGATCCGGGGATCTAGGAGGTTGCTACTCGTGTGGCAATTCTCTAAGTATAGTGTATGTGGGTCAGGTAATAGGACAAATGTTTAACAATGGAATTTAGGAGAATGTCAGAATTGCGTAGTACCTGTCTGGAATTCCCCTCATTTTTGTCCCTTCTTCTGTTACTTATATACTTATTTTTAATATACATTTTATATCTATTATACATTTTATACCTGATATACACTTTATACCTGATATATCTATTATACTTGATATACTTGATATATTTACTATACCTTTTTCCTTATTATTTTCTAGCACCTTCTTCCATCTCAAATATATCCTGAAAACAAAAAAAATAAAATGTATATATTTGGTTTCCCATTATACATGCGGAAAGGGCAACGGATGATTTTTATTAATTGCACGTACCACACCATATTCTTTTACAAATTCAGCACTAATTGTTTTGCCCGGTAACTTCCCTTTTTTCCTGGAGGGTACAAAAGCAGCACCTAATCTTAAAGCTATAATTGGCCCAAGCAAGAACCCACGTGCGTCGAGACCTAATATCACAAAATAGTAAGAAGTTCCAAAAATCTTTAAGTATAAAGAGAGAATATTTAGAATGACTTACCAACTATGACATCAATTTTCTCATTAAATGTAGTGGTAATTTGTTTTACAATATGATTTATAAGTGTTTCGACGGCAATTGGATCCTGAAAAACTGGAAATATATCTTGAAATAAGATGCCCTTTACACAGTCATGCCAAAAATGTTAAGTATTTATTGTTCAATCATAGGGTTTTTTTATTCATTATCTTTACAGGCAAGTACCTTTTTGGGAAAATCAGGTACAGCTTTTATTAAGCTTCGAACATGATCGATATCCGACATTTCTACAACGTATCTAAAAGTTTGACCCAGAGACTTATATACACTGTATATCATGCATTATGAAAATCTCATCAACTGACTAACCAATAGAGGTTTGTTCTGAATAAAAGGATTTGAGAATTTCTATTCTTAACGCGGTGTGTTTCTAATTATTCTATCTCCTTTGTGATAGCATTTGAAAGATATCTTGAGAATTACAGTCTTTAAGAAAATTTATTTAACAATATTATAATTCAATAATTTGAAAAATACAATATATCAAATTTATCAATAATAATAATAATAATAATAATTTCAACTATAAATTAATATACAGTTTGTCTAAAAAGTCTTTGGACAAATATTTTTTTAATACTTTATTAATTATTAAGAAAGTTTTTTTATAATGTACAAATGAAATTTTATAAAAATTTTTTATTTATTGTATTGTAAAAATAATTTTTAAAAAATTTTAAATTTAGATTTTAATATAAATTTTAATAAATTTATTTAATTAAAAGATTAATTAAATAACTTAAAATTTAATAAAAATTATTTTTTAACTAATTTTATCTTATTTTACAAATTGATAAATTAAAATTATTATAAATAATTTATTTATTTATTTATTATATTTAATTAAACCAATATATTTTAAAATTTTTTATTTTAATATAACAATAAATTTTAATAAATTTTAATAAAATATTGATAAAAAAGCTGTATAAACTAAAAAAACTCTCTTCTGATCATGTCCGTTTTGTTAAAAATTTTTCTTTTATGGTAATTTTAAGCAAGAAAAAATGTT